TTGAAATATTCAAAATTTTCTAGCTAGTTTTAGCCAAATATAGTTGCAATATTCAACTATATTAAGCTTGAAACTTGTGCTCCCATTAAGCTTTGCGCGCTTAGAGTTTAAGGTTTGTAAAGGACAACCTTTTTTAATTGGATCTACACATAATGTATTACAGTCAGGGCGGTAGCGACAAGGGGGAAGGCTGGATGGGGTATGTAATTTTTGAGTGATGTTCAAGTAAATTATAAGAGCATGTACAGTACAGGCTTCGAACAGGCTAATGTGAAAGTTAAATGTGAACGCCAGTTAAGAATGTCAAATATTAGTTGCATTTCCGGACTTTCTGAGGGATGAAATATTCAAAATTTTCTAGCTAGTTTTGGCTAAAACTCCAGCTAGTTTTGGCTAAAATGCATCCAATTGTGCTAATATATTCTATCGAAAGAAAAGCCTGTTACATGAACGTACTCATGAAAAAGTCACACTAAATTCTAAAAACTGCTTTTAAGTGACACGAAACTTAAAATGCACCTAACCTCAATCGTTTTTATCTTCTCATGAGATTCCTAAAAACCTTTGGAATGATATTGTAACTTATTTTGAAGATTTTCGTTTGCATGCACACTTTGTCTCGGAGTTCTTTCAGTTTTATTGATATGCAAATGTCCGGAAATTGCGTCGCATACAATCTCGTACCCAGAGCAATGCCTGTGCGCGGGCTAAGATGGCATTGGCTCTGGGGAAATTGACAACCGGAACCCCTAAATTTAGGGGTTCCGGTTCTTTGTCGGCATGCACGATTGATAAACGTTAACCAATCACCGCACAGGAAAAATTCAATTTCCCCAGAGCCAATGCCATCCTAGCCCGCGCACAGGCATTGCTCTGGGTACGAGATTGCGTCACATATGAATAATGATAGTGATCAAAGAATGTAAGGTACAGTTCAATATCATGAAATAAAAAGGCTAAATGGTGTTTTACATTGGTATGTAATCCTCCCAAACTTCATTTCAATGAATTAAACTCGATAGTGAATGCGATATACAAGGCTTACTTTAAGTCATTATGGATTTGTGACATAAATTCCGGATATCTGCATGCATGCAAACAAACTATAAAATATCTCAGAAAGAAAGTGAGCACCTAAACTTCTTAATTAATTGCTCCCATTGTGGCGGTAAACCAACAAATTTTCCCGTCTTCTAGTGTCGTAACCAGCGTCTACTCTATGCTGAAAATTTGACTGCTTTGAAATGGGTGGTCTTCAAAATAAGTTGTCTTATAATTTCAGAAGTTCTTAAGAATGATCATGAGATGATAAAAATAATTGAGGTTAGGCACACTTTAAATTAAAAAATCAAATAATTAGTACAATTAACCTACCCGCCCTCCCCCCACTCCAACGCCAAATTCTTTGCTACGTCCCTGATTACAGTCAAGAAATATGTTAAAAGAATTTATTAGTTAGTTCGTGTCCTGTGTTCAAAATTCACAAAAAGGTCAAAGCAAAGAACATGGACACAATCATCGGCATAACACCAAGTACCACGCCGTTGCCCCCATTCAGTTCAGGGAAGCCGACGTTGCATTCTTTGGTTGAGCAACACGTGGTTTTACAAGCTTCGGCACCATTCCCCAGCTCCTGTCGGCAAATTTCAGGATTGCTACCACACCGAAAATCACCGCCACTAGCACAACCCTTGGAAAACTCTATATTGCCATTGGCTTTTTTCACAACCTGCGCAAAACATTTATAAGATAGTTCCCCGCAACTTGTTGTTTGGTTGCATGCTGGTTCCTTGATAGGTGGACTTCTTTCCTCTTTACAGACGAAACATCTATTTGTGTCTACAGATCTCACTAAAAAGCAAGATATAGTAATGGTATCTGTATTGTGAATTAATAATTCATGACGAACTAAACACAAAAAATCATGACCAAATATCATTTCTTTTAAATTGTTGAGGAATACCGCGAATGTTCTCATCAAGACGTTTCACAAGCTACATTGAAGCATTCGCGTCCGGAGTCCGTGTTGTATCAGACATGCAACCTCTCGCCTTCGGCTCGAGTTTGTGCATGTTGATCAGATAAAGATCGGCTGCTCATGTTTTAACTTGCACTCTTTGAAATTTACTGAGCTGGCAGTTGAGTAATCCTTGCAATAGTGAAAGCATGAATCAATGTCTCAGTCGATTCTCTCGTAAAATAGCATGCAATTAGGGGCCGAGACTGGACGCGTTGAATTTAAAGGCTTTGCTCGCTTGGACGGAAACGAGTAAAGATTAAAGTTAAAATTCAACATGCGAATGAAGTGGACGATGTCCTTTCTTTGAATAGAAAGGCATATACGTAGATTTATCCTAAGGGGATGTTTATAAGAATGTAAGCCAGCCCGGGTATAGCCGAGATATTCATTTTGCATTTATACGGCTGGCCCGCCTAGCCTATAGATCTCGCTTCGTTGAAGCATGCAGGGATCTCGCCATCAAGACGGGCTGGAAATTTCTAATATAAACGCAGTTATACCTGGGCTGGCTTGTCTAAGCGGGCTGAGTGTTAAAGTTTTGCATGTTCACGCAAAAATATTGTTGTAAGTACGATTTTCTCCGCGGCAGATTTCGATCTTAAAAGGTCTGATTCTGTCAGAAACGATTCTGTGCCTGTGGGCTATAACCGTGAAAGTTGCTCGCCAAAGTGCGAATTTCATGTTTGTGAGAAAGTATTACTATTTATATAGCAATGAGCCCAGTGGTTTGTTTTGGTGAGCCAGTCCGCCTCGAGAATCTCATGTACTAGATAACATGCATGGGATAAAATCAGCTCGGCAAAGCGAGCTAGCTCGCTCGGGTTCCCGTACTGCCTCGCATCCATATCAAAACAACCCCTAACACGAGCTGTAACTTTCACTGTGGAAGGAAACCCGACTAGCACCCGGAGAAAACCCACGACTTTCGGCAGAGCGGTAACTGACTATTTTCAGGTATTTGGGTTTTTTATTGCAATGATTCAATAAAGATGTCATTTGACAGCTATAGAGGCCTGATGTTCAGTTAATACGAAAACAGAAAACCTCTAAACGTAACTATATTATAACACACGATAAACCTGCCGACTATATTGCGTACGCTTTGGCTGATATTCAAATATTGATGTATATATTTTTGCCTAGTCGTTGGAGAGATTACATAAAATATATAGTGACATAATGGACATATGTGTCCAACATTAAACTCACCTGTTGTCACACAGAAAGCTAAAATGAAAAAACCTGCAAAACCTTTCATCTTGACGATTTTTTTCAACTCTTGTTTCAGTTCTGATGCTCAGTCAGGCAGTGCAAAGCTATGCCCAAGGATAGACTGAATACTGGGAATAGTTTGGGACAGATTAAATAGATGCCAGCTAGCTGCCTGTGTTCATGACGAAGCAATCGGTGGGAGGTAAAATTATATGGAAATGAAAGATAATATAGTAAACAATATTATTCAAATTTTGTTTTTGTATAAGACATTCCGACATATAGTTATTAAGATTATGCAATTTAAATAATTGTATAAAAAATAGTACTGTGTCTGTGAAGGTTATTTCTGTATGATTCTTTATGATATTATGCGTCTTATTTGCCTTGTCATTGCCAGTTCTGTTCCTATAAGTTCCTATATCTATATCGAACACAATAATTAAATGCACACAGCAAAATTTTGAGCGATGTTTTTTTCAATATTGTGACAGCAATCAGTCACAGCATGAGCCATTGGCACCAGCAATCCTGCAATTTCTGTTTTCTAGGCCTTTCCTTTAGGCTACGTATTTCAATCAATCATTAACTCATCTATATATTTGCAATTGCACCTCTGATTTACCTGATTTACTTTAAATTCTGGTACATAAAACTTTGAATAAAATTGAGGATACATAGTATGTGTAATGAAATGGAACAACCTGTAGAACTGATTTCGCCTGCTATTTGATTTTCGCTGGCATTTCTCAAGTATGACCTGCATTTGGCCACTGGCAGGCAACCATTTTGAACCCTGGGTTACCCATACGGTTTTTCCTCGCATTAGCTGACAACACAATGGGTCAATTTCACTATTGAGTTGTCGGTTTAATAATTAAAAGAAGAAATCGCACGTGTATCACGTCATGTGCGCGGTGTCGTCAATCTTGTAACATTCCTGTTATGTCATGACTGTATCAGACGTGTTAGATAACCTTGTAACAAGTCTGATAATGACATCAAGCTTGTTACAAGTTGTAACAACTTGCTTGCAGAGCTGTAACAACTTGTGCGTTTTCACCTGTGTAGCAGACGGGAAAATCGTCGCATGCACGCATTGCTACTTCTCTTTGACCCGTTGATTTGCCAGCACGAGAAAAAACCAGTACGTTTCAATTTTCGATTTACGAATTTTAATATAAATTTAGTACGGCAACCAGGTCCAACCACATAGTGTTCAATAGTGTTGTATCATGTCTATGATAATGGCGTGCATGTATGTATGAACTATGAACAGAGCTGGCGTATCTTGCATTGCAAATCTTTTATACAATACATAAGGCGTAACATGACGTAGTTCTCACAGTTTGGAATCTGCTTGTATAGAATGTTAAACATAAAGATTCTTTATTTTTAACAAGTACATGCAGCTAAAACACGGCAATCACCAATCATGAAACACATTGCCAAAAAATAAAATTATGTATTTTGAAAATGTTTAATTAAAGTCTGTGCAAAATCATTGTTGAAGACATTAAAAATTTTATGAAATTAAATTCTTGTACATTTTACGCAAGTTTACACTTATCTAGGGAGGGGCAATTTTCAGTGTAGAAAAATATGTTTATGACAGTTATTTTGTTAGAATTTACATAGGTGAGTGGCAGCGGTTTTATCCGGTAGTTTCGCTTCCCATTGCATGCTCGCATATTTGTCCAAAATAAACGTTATGAATAAGTTTATGAGCATTTTCCACCTTTCTTAAGGCTATATTACCTGTCTTCTTCTTAAAAAAAGAATTCCATTTGACAAAAACAATAAGCAATATATTGGCATCATTTGAAACATGAAAGCATGCTCACATTGAGCGCCAATACTTTTTATTCAGCCTGATAACTGGTTGGATAATGGATATTGCCTTATCAGCCGAAAATTATCGTGACCTTGGACGCTACAGTTTTGCTGCATCTTAAGGCATTGTTCTTCATTGCTATTGATTAACGTAATAAGAATAAGACCGAAGTCTTGCATAATTGTGTTCACCACAGTCATATTAATATCAGTTGTGCATGCAAATATTGTCGTCTAAAGACTATCATGTGGCAACAACGAAATGAACAGTTTCGTGATAACAAAAACGAATTCGGTCAATGTCATGCAATGTATTACATTATGAATGCATTTTGTTCGGCAGTGCACATTGTAGTCTTATTAGGGAAATCCTCCGCCAAGGGTTTTAGCATTATGAATTCTCTTACGACAATTTCACCGATTACTTCACAAGTTCCAAAACCGTGCAGCGAGAATTATAACCGGCGCCAGCTATGAAATAAGGTCTGCTGATGTTCTCAGTCGATCCCTTGCTTGGGAAAATTTAGAGATAAGACAACGTACAACTAAATCCACATTAATGTATAAAGTCCTGAATGATTGCGCTGGGCCGAACTTGAAGGATGCTCTAACGAGAAGGGACCTTGTTCAAACCAGTTATAATCTTCGCAATACTTATACTGACCTTACCCTTGCTAAGCCAAAACGAGAATTTCTAAAAAAAAGCTTTAAGTATAGCGGAGCTAAATTGTGGAATAGTCTTCCTTCTGATGCGAAGCTAGCGCAATCAATTTATTCTTTTAAAAACTGCCTGAAAGATTCACGCTAACATCTTCTAATATACTGTACATGCATGCTTTAGAAATATGGGTCACACCGTTTGGAACTTAATTCTTGTATTGTAAATAGTTGTATATAATTCTTTATTCTTTTCTATATCATATTTGTAATTTTTAATAGTAACAGACGTCCCTCGTGAAAATCAATAAATCGTTGACGAGGCTAACGTCTTTAAATAAAGTTTACATACATACATACATACATCTCGGAAAAGAATTTTTCACACGCAAGTGTTCCAATTCTATGCACATAAGAAATAATAGATTCCAATGCGAAGCAGTTTTTATTATACGATATACACAATTTTCATATATACGAACCATTTCAAAAAATATGTGAAACTTAAATTAGTTGACATCTGAAATATAATAAGCATTTTCACATGTGAATTGAAATGTTCCAACTCCACGTACATATAAAATTTCACAGTCATGTGAAATGATTTAAAATAATGTGATTTTTTTGTAAAAGTTATTTGGGAGTTTTAGAACTTAAGTGCACGTTTAATAATAAATAAAGGTCAATTTACAGATGTTATTTGGAGTATCTGTGCAATGTCGGTATGAGATGCGATAAAATAACTTCCCAAAACAGGGTCTTTCTTTGGTTATGCATATTAATACAAGTATCTTAACCACCAACTGAGAAAATAACAATTGTATGAAAGCGGTTCATGACAGGGCGTAAAATCTTCCCATTGGCATCAATTTTTTGTCATCGTGGTTATTACCCGTAAACAACTGAAATAAGTGAAGTCAACGTCCAGTGCCAGTCTCTTTCTATTGCTTTTGTCAGCGCGGTTGACATGAAGTTGTAAAGGGTGTGCCGAAATTCCGTGTTTTGACTTCGATTTGAAGAATAATATTATGGTTTTATGAACTAATAACTTGAACAGCGATATGGTCAGTTAGGAAAAACTAAATTAGCAGAGGAAAATGGCGTGAGAACTGTTTATGACCTTCATAGT